GAGCACAAGTCAGATGTCTCCCTGGTACACACTTGCAGATGCTGGGGCCATGGATTGGCCTGGCCAGTGCTGGGATCCCGGCACTGGGGTGTGAATGAGGTGGGTGCAGAGGCTTCAGGGGCCGCCCTGCCCCCAGCTCGGCCTGGCTGGGGCTCCCAGGATTGTAGGGCTGTGGCCAGGGGCTGAGGCCTTCCGGCTGGCCGCTCATTAAAAGAGGATTAGGCCAGGAGCCAGGGGGCCAGCTCAGCCCCCAGGCCTTCCTCTGGGGCCCCTCACAGCTTTAGGGGCGTGATAAGGGTCTGCCCCCACCACACTGAGTCCATGGGGACATCCAGTAAGGACTGTCTAGGCCCTGCCACTCCCACTGCCGCAGCTGCCCCCTCCTTGTCCACCTCCGTTTCCTTCCTCAGAAGGGCAGGAGGACAGAACTCTGACGGAGACCCTGGCCAGCACCCCCACCTCTCACCCCTAACCTCATTGCTCTTCAGCTAAGAGATTAGGGCTGCACTAGCCTACATGAGGTCAGAGGTCAGGGCTGGGCTGTAGGGACCTGTCTGTCACCCCCTAGTACCCAAGCACAGCACTGGGAGGTGACACTGTCAGTCAGGACCTGCTGCTTTGTGGGGCTGTAACCAAGGGGGCGGGGTGCACACCTCTGCTCCAAGACCCCCTTTTGACAGCAGCCCCTGCCTCACTGGCCACAGAGCCGGTGTCCTAGAGACGGGGAGCAGGGGTCGGCAGCAGGGGTCAGGGCCGCCCACTTGAGGTCTGCGGGTGAGGGCCACGGACACACCCCCTCAGTGAGGTCCACACCCACTACCTCCTTTAAAGTCAGGCACCCGCTGCTTCCCCGAGGGGAGGAAACAGAGATTCCCCCCACCTCCCAAGACTAAACCCCTGGGCACTGAGAATGTTCCTGCCTCTGGACCTTTGCCAGGCCATTCTGGGCCAGGACTCTGAGTGTCTAATGGCCATGGGGAAGTTCTAGAGGCTGGGAACGGCTGCGGAAATGAGGTGTCTGATGCCAGAAAAGGCTCTTCCTTCCCGATGACGGGAAAAGCCTTCCCGGATGTCGCCCCACCCAACGTGTGCCCGGCCTGGGTGAGGGTATGGGGGTGGGGAGCCCTTCCCAGGAGGCATTACTACACACACCATCCTCTCTCCCCAAGGTCAAAGCTTATCCAGACTTGAGTTTCAATATCCACAAAACTTTTGATTGTGCCCCACCCCCCCTCCTTGGTACTGCCATGGAGATGGGAGTTGGGTAACACTCCTACTGTCAGAGCTGGGCCTGGGACACATGGAATGGAGTAGAGAACAGCCCTGAGGACGTGGCCAGGCCAGGCCCATGTCACCTCCCCTCACCCTCCACAGATGCCCCTTAGGCCCAAGTCTGTGCTCCTCAGCGGGGCTGGGGGCCAGGAGCATCTAGCCTTGCTGACGGTGCAGGTATCCGAGCAGGAAACCCAGGACTACTCGGCTACTTCCTGCCCTGACCCAGGCTTCTTGGAGGAATGAAGGCCTCTGGCTCCTTTGCCCTATGGCAGGGTGGGGAGGGGGTGGTGACAGGACACTAGTTTCACTCCTTGCCCTGTGACTGGAGGTGAGCACCCCTCTCCCCTGGGCTTCAGTATTCCCTGTCTGAAGTTGGGGTACAGAGCTGTCATGGAGCCCCTTGTTTTAATTCTTTCCTACAGTCTGGCAGGAGTGAGAGGAGCACTCCAGCCATGGGTTACTAAGTCCAGAGCCCTACACTCAGTTCATTCTGGGACCCTGGAAGAGCCATCCTTCTCCACCTCAGTTTCCCTTTCTGTAAGCTGGGTTTGGATGGATAATTCAGGATTTAGCTCTGCTCCTGTGAGTTGAAGGTGGGGTGGAGATAAGCTGGAGTTAGGGAAGGGCTGGGCTGAGTCAACAGGAAGCCCTTTCCTGCCCCATTACCCTCTCTGCTCTGTACCCCAGCACTAGGAAGTGGTATAGCGGGAATAGGACTGAGGGTGGATGTCCTCCAAGAGATGGTGACACCTGGGAGCCAGCTTGCAGGGGGCAGAACTAGGAATCTCATCCATTCTCCTCTCCCCACCAAGACAGAGACAGCCCATGAAGGAGGGTGAGGAGAGGTCCCAAGGCGTACTCGGCTGAGTTCAGAGCAGGACCCTCACCTGCACGGATCACATTGAACTTCAGTGCTCGGAGGGCTCAGAGATGGTCTACCTAGGAAATTGAGGACAGAGTGCCCTGATTGAAGTCATGAAGCCCTCGCCAGAGCCAAAGACTCCTGACCCTTGGTCCTACGCCTTTCCGACCCCACATGGCCTCATGGGGACTCCCCCTCAAAGTTTCCACAGTGACCAAAGCATCATGTCCTGTGACAACAGAGCCATTGACGCCATATCCCATGTCCACTGGCAGGGGTCCCGGGGGTCCTGAGTCATGTGTCCTGTCAGTGGAGGGGGAGTCACCTTTAGGCCCTCGGCCTCCCAGTAGGCAATCCCCCTCACAGGACTGGCTTTGTCTGGGCTGCCTCTCCTTCAGCCCCAAAGGCCACGGACCTGGGTGGGAATCTTACCCCATGCTCTTGGGCCCTGTTCCTTCCTTTCTCTGTGCCTTGATGTCCTCATCTGTAAATTGGATGTTGTGAGCTCAATGTTTTGCACATAATAGGTGCTTGATGAGTAAGTGGGAGGCTCCCTCCATGACCACTTCTACCCAAGGGGTAGGGAGCAGGGAGTGCATGTTTAGGAGGTAGGATGTCCGATCAAGGCTAATCTCCTGCTCCCATGTTCCTCTGCTGAGTGTCTTTCCCCTGCCTTTCCCACAAATGGGGAATGGAGCCTGGAGTGCTGGGGCTCTGAGCTCTGGGGGGACTTGGGCTTGGGGCTTGGGCAGTGGTTCCTGCAGAGGGGGAGGGTCCAGATTACAGAGGCCCAAGACTGGGCAGGGGTGGAGGGTAGGGATTCTGACTGCTTATGTCCCTGGGGCTAGGTGTTTGGAGATTTCCCCTACCCCAGGTGCCTATGTCTGAAGGTACCCACTTGAGCCTCTGCCTCCCTCCCCTCCATTGTCCCCCAAATGCCTCCTAACCCAGTAGGACGGGTAAGGGGACAACCCAAGGCCATGACCCCAGCTGGGGTATAAATAACCCCTGGCGGGCTGTCCGAGCCTGGGGGGGCTCCGCTGGCAGCCCCATTTCCTCTCTGGCTGCTTCCTGGCCCTGGGGGTGGGGGGAGTGTTTACTTTCCTGTTGTCACTATGGCTGGGTGGCCAGGCGGGGGACTCCAAGTGGCCCAACAACAGGTGCAGGACAGGTGCCCAGGCTGCCCTGCCCAGGACTTCAGAGGCACCGCCGGACAGGCGGGCAAAGCCGTAGCCAGGCAGGGATCGGCCCTTTGATCCCTTGGCGTCCCTGCGTCCCAGCGGTTGGCCAAGGTCATCACCTGTATTCTCTCGTTGCCACATGCGGCTGGGCAGGGCAAGGCCTTTGCTTGCCTCCCAGCCCCTCAGATGTAGGCTCTGGGTCTGCTATGGGAGTCTCCTGGCTCCCAGCGCCACCCTCCTCCCAATGTTAGCACAATCCTGGAGCTCCCATCTGAAGCTGCTCTCAGGCATAGCCCCTCCAGCTCTGCTCCAGGGTCCCGAGCACACAGCCAGGGTCAGGGTCAGCCAGGTCCCTCAGAGACAGCTGCCTGAGTCAAGGTCGACCTTGACTTGACTGATGGGATGGGGCCACCTGCTGGTCCTACCTTCTGGCAGCATCTAGGGCACATGATCCCAGCTGTTCTCCCTCCCCAGGCCTACCTCGTGACTGCCTCACCTGGGAAATGGGTTGCCAGCTACTGGGCAGGGAGATGGGAGCTGTATGGTGGCCTTCACGGGTGCCTCATCTGATGCCACCCGGGTATGCACATGTGCAGACATGGGCCATGTGCGTACAAGCGTGTGCTCCTCCATGTGCCGCCATCCCCAGCCCTGTCCCCTCCCCGTGCTGGTGAATATTTATCACCTTCATTACAATCTTCCCTCTTCTGCTGAGCTGAAGACAGCTGGGGGTGGGGTGAGGAGGGGCTTGCCAAGTAGACCCCTTGGCTCTCCCCACTTCCAGAGCAAAGTTCTTAAGTTTTCTGGAGTCCTGTGTTTGTCATTAGCCTGTCACTGGCCAAGTTCCTTCCTGTCCTTCATCTCCAGGAAGGAGGACTTTCCCCCAGCAATCTGGGGGCAGAAGGTCCAGGGCCGCCAGACTCATGCAGAAGAGAAACTAAGGACTCCACTGGACCCTGCCCCCCCAGCCTTGGGACACTGTAGCACTAGGGGGAAGCTTTCCTGGGAAAGACTGTTCCTGACTGGTTCAAAGTGGCCTGAGAATTCCACCTTTAGCATCCCAGTGGGATCTGGGGGGAAGCCCAAGTTCTGTGGGACAGTATTGCTCCAAAGAGGGCTGTCCAGTGTCCTGGCTGACCAGCTTCAGATGAGGCAGTGACCATGCTATGTGTCAGCTTTGCCCTGACTGGTGGGCAGCTGGGGTGAGGATAAAGCATCCCGGCCCTGTGCCAGCGTCTGCAGGCTGTCCTGGAGGCACCTGCCCCCCGCCCTCCTCATTAACCCTTTTAGGCCCCTGTGGGAAGCAGGCCCCACCCTGAGCGTGGGAGCATTAGCCCCCACTAGAGCAAAGACTCTTTGATGCCATCACGCGCCCTGGCCCGCACCCACTGCCCTTTCATTGGGACCCAGAGACTGGCTGGGGCTGCTGATGAATCAGGGCTTTAGCTTTGGGTGTGGTCCCTTCCCTGGCCTGCCCACCTGCCCCACTTTCTCCTCCCAGTATCTCAGGGACTAAAGAGGGAGCTAAGTAGGCCCCCGGGGCCGGGTCAGTGTTGGGGCTGGGGGAGGGTGGAAGCTCGGGGTTTAAGATGATGGTGTGGTGGAGGTCCTCCCTCTGTCAAAGATGGCATGTCTGGATGGTCTCCAAGGAGCCTAACTGCTGTCCTGCCCTCCGCCCACAGAGCTTAAGGCCACAGGCACTGCCCACTTCTTCAACTTCCTGCTCAACACAACAGACTACCGGATCCTGCTCAAAGACGAGGACCACGACCGCATGTACGTGGGCAGCAAGGACTACGTGCTGTCCCTGGACCTGCATGACATCAACCGTGAGCCCCTCATTGTAAGGGCCAGCCCAGGTGTGGGGTTGGAGGGGTGCGGGGTGCGGGGCCCTGGGGCTGGAAGCCCTGTCCAGCAAGCCGCCCCCTCTGACCCCTGTTTCCGGCAGATCCACTGGGCAGCCTCCCCACAGCGCATTGAGGAGTGTGTGCTCTCAGGCAAGGATAGCAATGTGAGTGCTTGGGTGGAGCGGGGGTGTTTGCAGGGGGGATGGAGGGGGGTTGAGAGGCAGGGGACCTCGGGGAGGCAGCGGGGCGGGCAGGCATCTGGGCACCTCTTTGGCTTTCCCTCTGCCGCAGGGTGAGTGCGGGAACTTCGTCAGGCTCATCCAGCCCTGGAACCGAACGCACCTGTACGTGTGTGGGACCGGTGCCTACAACCCCATGTGCACCTATGTCAACCGCGGCCGCCGAGCCCAGGTGAGCCGCACCCGGCCCAGCCCCGTGCCACCCAGTCAGTAGCCACACGCCAGGGCTCTGATGGGAGGCTGAGCTTGAGCCCCAGGCCTGCCACTGCCCAGCCCGGGGACCTTGGGTGAGTGACTCCTTTCACTCCCTCACCTGGAGATGGGGCTAACAGCTGCCTTTCTCACAGGTCGATGTGAGGAGGCCTCAGTGAGCAGCCGCTCCCAGACCTCTTAGCCCTGTGCCTGTGGACCGTGCCCCTGCCGCCAACCTAGAGGGCCTGGCAGGGGCCTCAGCATCAGGAGGCTGGACACCGGGGTCCCCTTCTGCCACAGGGCCTGGGAGGAGAGCTGCCCCTTCCCCAGCTCCGTCCCGCCCTGCCCGCTTCTGCCCTTTCTCATTTCCATGTGGGTGTGTGTGTGAGCTGGTGTGACCTTGTAGGACGCGTGTGAGAGTGAGTGGACTTAGGGACATGTGTGTGTGGGCGCGTGCCAATCTGTGTGTGTGTGTGTGCACGTGGAGGGGCGTATGTGTGCTCTGGGGGCCTGGGCGCTCATGTGTGCTCCTGGCATGTGCACTGTGAGAGGCTGGCAGCCCGAGCCCGCTCCCCCAGCCCCGGCCACCCCTGGCTCTAACCCCTGTTCCTCGTCTTCTCAGGCTACGCCCTGGACCCAGACGCAGGTGGTCAGAGGCCGAGGCAGCAGAGCCACGGATGGTGCCCTCCGCCCGACGCCCACAGCCCCACTCCAGGTGGGACTCAGCCCTCCAGGCCCCTGCCAGGCAGCACTGCCTCTGAGCTGAACTGCCCCTGGGCCTGACCTGCCAGCCAGGAGCCCCCACCCCATGCGAGCCTTCTGAGGGTCTTCCTCGACTCTGGGCTCCCCAACCCTCTCCTTCCCCACACTGCGCCCTCAGGTGCCGAAGGCATTCCCAGCTGGCTTCGTGTCAGCCTGTGAGTCCCTGTAGGCAGGAGATCATGAAGCCACCAGGTGCAAAGAGAGCCTCGGGCCTCAGAACACGTGTGTACACAGGCATGAGCCTACAGCAACATACACATGTGGGCACATGTTGTACTCTCCCACACACACCTTAGTCAGCATCTGGGGTCTGAACATGGCACGTGTCTGTGGCCTGACATATTACTCTCTCCTGTCCATGCCCCAGGCCTGCACGGGTCACAGGCAGACACAGGTGTCCTGCACACCCACGTGCTGGAAACTCTGCTCCCCTGGGGCCGAAGAGGCAGAGCTGTCTGCCCTCTAGTCAGGAACTGGGACTGGGACTGGGCTGGAGGAGGGCCATAGTGGGGCTTGGGGAACTGGGGCTGGGCAGGGGCGGGCAGGGGAGCCAGGGCTGCCGGTGAGTGAGAGCAAGTGGTCACGTGAGCATGTGTGTCTGTGGCAGACAGTGCGGAAATGTGGGATGGCTCAGACCGCATGTGTGTGCAGTGTGTGAGCGGCGGGTTCCGTGGGCTGATGTTGGTGTGTGCTGAGCTGTGTGTGCAGTCCCGTGTGCACAGAAAGTCACGTGTGCCAAGCGTAACTGGAAGTGGGCCTGTGTACACCTTCCCATCACCATCCTTGCCCCTTGCTGCCACCTCCTCCCTGCCTCTGCGCCCCTCTCTTTCCCCTCCTTTCTCCCCATGAGCTCATTCTGGTCCCAACGCCTTATCAGCTTTTCTGCTGGCATCCTCAGGGCTGGGCTGGGAGGCACGGAGGGCTTTGTGAATGCCTTGTAGTCTGGGCTGGACCTCTCAACTCCTGACTCATTGGGGAGACATGGGGAACTGGGGGCTCTGCTGAGGGGCAGGGGAAAGGCCATGGCCCTTTCGTCTGTCCTGAGGACCCCAGGTAGGACATAAAAGTCTGGGGACACAGTACCTTCAGGGCCCTTTGGCCTGGTGGGACCTGGCAACAAAGGTCAGGGCCGCAGGCCCTTGGGAGTACCTCCTGCCCTGGTCAGGTTGGCAGCCCCATCTTGGCCCAGGACAGGTGGCCACAACTTAAAGAATTGTGCCTTTGTGGCCCCAGGGGCCCTGACCAGAGTCTCCCTGACCCAGTTGGCATGGGGGGCTTTAGCCCCTGATTCTCAGGTCTTATCTGATACCTGGAACCAGGAATCAACTCCCTTGGAATGTGCATCATGACCCTTCCCCAGGGAGACCTGGCTGGATGGTTAAAACCCAAGGATATCTGGGGAGTGAAGGGATATGGCTTCAGGGTGTCTCCAGGGAGCTTGTGCTTACCCTGGGGACATGATGACCCTTAACCTTCCTGGCTGTGGGACCAGCTTGGACAATGCTGAGCTCCCCTCTGCCCTGCAGGATTACATCTTCTATCTGGAGCCGGAGAGACTCGAGTCAGGGAAGGGCAAGTGTCCGTACGACCCCAAGCTGGACACAGCTTCAGCCCTCATCAGTGAGTGCCGCTACCCCATCCTGGTTCTATAGCTGTAGTGGGTGGCCTCTGCCTCTGGAATAGGGAGCGTGGCACCAACACTTTCCCCATGACAGAGACTGTGACTATGCCACCACTGAACCCTCCCATGGGGCCGTACCCATCAGGGGGCGGGGTAAGGACCAGAGCCTGATGTGAGCTGCAGGGAAGAGACTAGTGGTGTGAAAGTCTCTCTAGCCCCTCCGATGGGGGTACTAAGAGGGCCAGATCCTACCCTGAAACGGGCCGTGCGAAGGTCCTCCCCAGGCTGTCTGAGAGAGAAGACCAAGCTCCCTATGAGCTTGGTCTGTACTGGGAGCCATAGAAGGCGGGGTGGTTCCATACATGTTAGTGTGTCTGGGAGGCCAGGAGAGTCCCACAGGGGAACACAGATGGAGTTCTGACTCCCTCACCAACTAGGGGGTCAGGGTTTGTTTCTGGTCCGGCCAGGTGTCTAGGAGAGTTAGGGAAAAGTTCTCTGAGGAGGGGTCCTTTCGGGGCCTCAGGAGCAGCTGCTGCCCCTACCCCCAAGTTGGGCGACCTGACCCTGGGCCCTGTCTCTGCTTCTTTGCTGGCTGCTGGACCCAGTCTGCCCCTCAGAGCAACTCCTGGGCACTGTGCCACCTCCAAGCCTGGGAAAGACCTCCAGGCTGGGGTTAGATGTTATCTTCCCCCTCTTGCCTAGCCTGATGGTGGCTCCCCGACTAGGGGTCTGATGGGGGAAAGCAGGGCCTGCCCTGGGCACGTCTAGAAGGAAGACACGGAGTGGTATGTTAGAGCCTGCGTAGTTGCTAAATTTTCTTTCTTTCTTTCTTTCTTTCTTTTTTTTTTTAAAGATTTATTTATTTGACAGAAAGAGACACAGCGAGAGGGAGCACGAGCAGGGGGAGTGGGAGAGGGAGATGCAGGCTTCCGGCTGAGCAAGGAACCCCATGCAGGGCCTGATCCCAGGACTCTGGGATCATGACCTGAGCCGAAGGCAGACGCTTAATGACTGAGCCACCCAGGCGCCCCATTATTTCACTACATTTTATTATCTTTGTTCTTGAGGTTATTGACATGTTGTATTTGTGGGGTAGAAAGACTATATGGGGGTGTGGGTGGCTCTCCCCAGCTCCACGTGCGGTGCCCCCGGGTTAGTAGCGTGAAGGCAGCCACCGTGGGAGCATTTATACCACAGAAATCGGCTCCCGCTACGAATCACAGCCGATCACTGCTAACCCCAGTCCCCGGAGGCCGTTTTTTAGCACTGACCAACACCCCACTGGTGCCACCGTCATGCCCTGGGGAATCTGAGGGGGGAGACAGGACCCAGCCCCCGAGGTCACGGCGGTACCCTCATTGCCCCACCTCCCCGCCCACAGACGAAGAGCTCTATGCCGGTGTGTACATCGACTTCATGGGCACCGACGCTGCCATCTTCCGCACGCTGGGGAAGCAGACGGCCATGCGCACGGACCAGTACAACTCTCGGTGGCTGAATGGTGAGGGCGGCCCGTGAGACCCCAGGGTGCCGCATGTCTGCGATCCCGCAGGATCCTCAGGGGGCCCTCGTTGGGGGTCTGGCCCTGCGACAGGCTTCGGCAGGGGAGGTGGCACGTCGGAGCAAGAGTGGGGGGTGTGCCTGTACCTGGCCAGGGGTTCTGTGGGGGGAGAGAGGCCTTGTTGGAGGAGTGCCTGCCTAGCTGATCCCTGCCCGCCTGCAGACCCCTCCTTCATCCACGCTGAGCTCATCCCCGACAGCGCGGAGCGCAACGACGACAAGCTCTACTTTTTCTTCCGCGAGCGGTCAGCCGAGGCGCCGCAGAGCCCAGCGGTGTACGCCCGCATCGGGCGCATCTGCCTGGTACGCGCCAGCAGGCCCCCTACCGCTGGCCCCCACCCCCGCGCTGCCCCTCTCCACACCCGCTGCAGGCTCTAGCAGCCCTGCTCGAGCAGGGTCTCGGTGCGAGGCCCGATCTGACCCTGCTCCCTGCCTGCAGAACGACGACGGTGGCCACTGCTGCCTGGTGAACAAGTGGAGCACATTCCTGAAGGCGCGGCTGGTGTGCTCCGTGCCCGGGGAGGACGGCATCGAGACTCACTTTGATGAGCTCCGTGAGTACCCAGCAGGCTGGCCGGATCCTCCGGCTGCTCTGGGAGGGGTGGGGGCTGGATGGGTGGGGTCAGGGCCCCTCTGGTGGGCCACCGGGGCAGGAGTGGGCAGGGCCCTGGGGCTCTTGGGGAATGCACCCTCCCAGTGTCTTCTTCCTCTCCACCCAGAGGACGTGTTTGTGCAGCAGACCCAGGATGTGAGGAACCCCGTCATTTATGCCGTCTTTATCTCCTCGGGGTGAGGCCGGGGCTGGCGGCGGCAGGGCTTGGCTGCTCTGGGGGGCTATGGCTTGCGGAGGTCCCCAGCCTGGTGGTGGCCTAGGGCTGGGGGCAGGCTGGACAGGGGCACTGGGCGGAGGGTCTGCCCTGCCCATGGCAGCAGCTGGCCCTGCCCACAGCTCCGTGTTCCGAGGCTCTGCCGTGTGCGTCTACTCCATGGCTGACATCCGCATGGTCTTCAATGGGCCCTTTGCCCACAAGGAGGGCCCCAACTACCAGTGGATGCCCTTCTCTGGGAAGATGCCTTACCCACGGCCCGGCACGGTGAGGGCCCCAATTATTCCACCTTTCCCTTTCCTTTCTGTTTATGAGGACTGCTCTGGGTTAGCCCCTTTGCAGATGTGGGCCCCACCATCACGGAGATCACAGCCAGGCAGGGGAGGTGGGCCATATACACACAAAAACCTACCATGTATCCACTTTTTTTTTTTTTTTAAAGATTTTATTTCTTTTTTGACAGACAGAGATCACAGGTAGGCAGAGAGGCAGGCAGAGAGGGGGGGGGAAGCAGGCTCCCTGCTGAGCAGAGAGCCTGATGCAGGGCTCAATCTTAGGACCCGGGGATCATGACCTGAGCCGAAGGCAGAGGCTTTAACCCACTGAGCCACCCAGGCGCCCCCCCCCCTTTTTTAGATTTCATTTATTTATTTGACAGAGAGAGACACAATGAGAGAGGGACCACAATCAGGGGGAGTGGGAGAGGGAGAAGCAGGCTCCCCGCTCCGAGCCCAATGTGGGGCTCGATCCCAGGACCTTGGGATCATAACCTGAGCCGAAGTCAGACGCTTAACAACTGAGCCACTGAGGCGCCCCCCCATATATCCATTTAAATAAAGCTGACATTAAAAAACAAAACACAAGGCACCAGGCCAGCTCAGTTGGTTGAACACGCAACTCGTGATCTCGGAGTCATGAGTTTGAGCCCCATGTTGGGCACAGAGGGAACTTTAAAAAATAAATAAATAAAACAAAATGAAACGAATTGTCATTTGACCAGCACCAGTCTATGAAGAACCCAGCCAGGCTCCCGGAAGAAAGATAGTGGCCAGGTGTGGCCGCTTGGGAGCCACACCTGCAGGGGGGACAAACCTGCAGGGCAAGCTGGCATTGGGGGAGCTGACTAGTGGTGGCCAGGGAGATGAGGGCTGGGCAGGGGTGAAGGACAGGCAGAAGGAAAAGCACCAGGTCAGGGCAGAGCACCCTCAGAGTGTTAAGGGAACTTGGGGCTATGGTCTCTCGAGCAGGCGCCTGTGGATGTGGGCGGCAGACTGGAGGAAGGAGACAATAGGATGGGGGATGAGGACCTGGGAAGGGAGTGTTCAGCTCTGCCTAATGCCACCACAAGGTCATGACACACGAGGCCAGGAAGGTGGCTGCAGAATTTGGCCATGTGGGACCTTGAGACCTCGGCTGGAGCAGGGCCTGCAGAGAGGTTGGGTGAGGGGGGGAAAGCCCGGATGGGGGTCCTGAGGAGTGGAGCAGGTGAATGTGTTGGGGACGAACAAAGGAGAGGCCTCTACTGGAGCTGAGGGGGTCAGCAAGCCCCCGCTGGGCCTGACGCTCGTCACGTGCCTGCAGTGCCCTGGAGGAACCTTCACGCCATCCATGAAGTCCACCAAGGACTACCCTGACGAAGTGATTAACTTCATGCGCAGCCACCCGCTCATGTACCAGGCTGTGTACCCTCTGCAGAGGCGGCCCCTGGTCGTCCGCACGGGTGCACCCTACAGGCTCACCACCGTTGCTGTGGACCAGGTGGATGCAGCCGACGGGCGCTATGAGGTGCTTTTCCTGGGCACAGGTACCCACTGCTGCTCCCAGACCCTCCCACGCTGGGCCCGTTGGGCGGAGGGTGCTGATCCGTGGGGTGGGAGACCTACCCTGCTGGGGGTTGCTCCAGGCTCGCCAAGGTCAACTCTGCTACCGCCATCCTTTGGAGCTAGAATAGCTGAGACAAGGGGTGGGGACAGCAGGGAAACTGGGTACCCGGGGACCCGTGCAGTGTTAGGAAAAAAGGAACAGGTGGCCAACACCTGCAGGACACGTGGGTCGAAGTACCGCCATACTTGCTCTCATGCACACGTGTGCACGTGTGCCCACCACAACTCCAGCCCCTCCACACAGGAGGACCTCCAGCATCCTTTTCTCAGCAGTGCCCAAAATGAGGGTCTGGGGTGAGGGGGCAGACCCCAGCCGTGACCACTCGCCCTTATCCCAGGCCCCTTCATCCGGGGGGAATTTCTTCAACCTTGGTACAGAGTTTCTGCTCCACTGCCCTTGGGGGGTTGGAACCTGGTGGGGGAAGGGGCTGAGGCTAGTACCCCTTCCCCAGCGTCCTCAGCCCCACTGAGGCCCTGCCCGGCCCGTTCCAGACCGCGGGACAGTGCAGAAGGTCATTGTGCTGCCCAAGGATGACCAGGAGATGGAGGAGCTCATGCTGGAGGAGGTAGAGGTCTTCAAGGTGGGTACGGGTATGACACCCAGTCCTGTTCTTCTCACCCTGGCCCTCCTTAGTACCAGCTCCTTACCTCAGACCTCCCTCCAGATGGGGACAGGGAAGGGGTCCCCCGTCCCCAAGGTAATCCCTGTCTTCTTCCAGGAGCCAGCACCTGTTAAGACCATGACCATCTCTTCCAAGAGAGTAAGTTTTGCTAAGGTGGGCTGGGGGTAAGGATGGAGCCTGTTCTTCCTTGGGGTCATGCCCTTGGCATAAGGATTGGGAAACTGAGGTATTGAACGGGAAGGTGAGGAGCCCAGCTGGCTCCTGATGGGGGCTGGCTGTGGGGATCGAACAGACATGCCCCTTCCCCTGCCCTCAGCAACAACTATACGTGGCGTCTGCTGTGGGTGTCACCCACCTGAGCCTGCACCGTTGCCAGGCGTATGGGGCTGCCTGTGCCGACTGCTGCCTCGCCCGGGACCCCTACTGTGCCTGGGATGGCCAGTCCTGCTCCCGCTACACAGCATCTTCCAAGAGGTGTGGACCCCTCAGGCCCTTGAAATTTGAGCCACCAGACCCAGGGTCCTATCCTGGGGGTTTGGTGACTGATGTGATATTACCCTGGGAGTAATGGATGAGACTCTTCCCTCCTAGAGTCTTGGGGGTATAGGGACCTGGGGCAGGGGCATAGCTTTCTTGAAAATACTTGATCAGGAGCTATCCTCATCTAGGCGGAGCCGCCGGCAGGATGTCCGGCACGGGAACCCCATCAGGCAGTGTCGCGGGTTTAACTCCAACGGTGAGTGTGCTGTGCCAGCATGGGGCCCTGTGCAGCCCATGGAGCTGCTCCCAGCCACCCCACCCCCACACCGGAAGGACTCTCACATGACCCAGGGGGTAAGGGGGCTTGGGATTTGGCAGATGGGCTGTCCTTAGCCACCCACTCAAGGAAGGAGTGGATGCCCAGTGGTCTAGCCCTGCCTTCTTCCAGCATGGGTGCCCCTGTGTGTGCCCTTCAGCCCCTGCCCTGTGCTGGCCTGCAGGCCACCCAAGGCAATGCTGCTTTCACGCTGTGCCCTCTTGCCCTACAGCCAACAAGAATACGGTGGAGTCCGTGCAGTATGGCGTGGCAGGGAGCGCGGCCTTCCTCGAGTGCCAGCCTCGCTCGCCCCAGGCCACTGTTAAGTGGCTGTTTCAGCGAGACCCCAGTGACCGGCGCCGTGAGGTGACTTCCTCCACCCCTTAGTCCTCGCTGTGGGTGTGGGAGTCCCCACACAGTAGGAGGGCCACGTAGGTGGAAAGTGCTCTAGGAGCCCATCTGGGGCAGCCCCATTCTAAGAAAGCCCTTCCAAGATCCCCTCTTGGTGTGGAAGTCATTTCGTGGATCGAGTTATATGGAAACACTAGGATTTCTGTATTTTATGGAAACCACTTATAAGCCTGCCTCTTTACATGAAAATCCCATTCGTGTGCTCTGCTGGAGGTATATACCCCATGGCGTGGAAACGTCAATGCGCTCGAGCTCTAGGATGTGGGAATTCCGTGGAGGAGCCCTCGTTTTATGGAAATGCATTCCAGGCACCCCTCCCTACGCGAGGATTCTATAAGGATACTTCAGTTGGGTATTCCCATTAAAAAGAAATGCTGTGCTCGAGCATTCCCTCATTGTACAGAATCTCCTCCCCATCCTTCCTCCCGAAATGGAGAAGCGTACGGATGCCCTGTTCAGATGTATGTGGAAACTTACTGTGGGCTTTTCTTGCTACGTGGAAATTCCACACGGGGGCCCCTTCCACGGAATGGCCACAGAGGTGGTCTGCTCCGGGGGCCAGCCTGGCGGCAGGGAGGTCACACAGCTCTGAGCCCTGGCTCCCTGCTCCTGCAGATTCGTGCCGAGGACCGCTTCCTGCGCACAGAGCAAGGCTTGCTGCTCCGCGCCCTGCAGCCTGGGGACCGTGGCCTCTACTCCTGCACGGCCACCGAGAACAACTTCAAGCATGTCGTCACGCGGGTGCAGCTGCACGTCCTGGGCCGGGACGCCGTCCACGCTGCCCTCTTCCCACCACCAGCGGCAAGCGCCCCACCACCCCCTGGCGCCGGCCTCCCCACACCCCCTTACCAGGAGCTGGCCCAGCTGCTGGCCCAGCCTGAAGTGGGCCTCATCCACCAGTACTGCCAGGGCTACTGGCGCCACGTGCCCCCAAGCCCCAGGGAGGCCCCAGGCGCACCCAGGCCTCCCGAACCCCAGGACCAGAAGAAGCCCCGGAACCGCCGCCATCACCCACCGGACACATGAGGCCAGCTGCCTGAGCCTTGCGATGGGCCGGCCTCGGCCTCGTCCCTTTTAATATAAAAGATATATATATATATAAATATATATATATAAAATATCTATATTCTATACACACCCTGCCCCTGCAAAGACAGTATTTATTGGTGGGTTGTACATAGCCTGCCTCAGCGGCAGTACGGTCCAAAACTGAGACCCATGCTGGTCAGAGACAGCAGAGAACAGAGCCCACCCAGCCAGGCCCAGCCAGTCAGCAGGGCCAGGCCAGGACCACACAGTCCCCAGCCTCAGCTGGGAGTCTACCTGCTTGGCCGCCACCGCCGGGATCTACAGGACGCGGGGAGGGAGCACGCCGCCCCTGGACAGGGCACGAACTGCTCATCTTTGCCAGCATGTGCTCTCAAGCTGTGCCACCAGTGCAGACAGACGCGGAGGCGAGGACTGCTTTGGAGACTGGGAGCGGGGGTGGGGGCTCAGAGGCACTCTGAGGAGGGAAGAAGGGGCCCGTCACAAGAGGCCGGCCCCTGCCTGGGAGGGGACACTCAGTCAAGGCCAGCCCCCTCCTGGGTATTTATTCTCTATTTATTGGGGACAGGAACAAAGGAGCCCTGCCTGGGTGGGGCACACTTCCAGCCCTCCCTGCCTGGCCACTCTACCTCCTCTTCGCTTTTTCTGGGCCACTGTGACTTGGGGGCTGGGAGAATAGCAGAGGGGCAGGTGCAGGCAGGGCTGAGGGGAGAGGGGGCAATGGTGGAGGCCTGGGACCTTCAGGGGCTCCCCCAGGGCTCCCTTCTGCCCACCACTTCAGAGGATGGGTGTAAATAGCTCTGGGGGGCTTTGGGAGTAGGTGGGTAGGGGCTCCCGGTGGCCCTCGGCTGCCCAGGCCACAGCCGCCCTTGGGTTCCATCTTGCTAATAAACACTGGCTCTGGGACTGGACTTTGGCTTTTCTCCTTGGCAGGGGAGGGAGGATGGGGGTTCAGCCTACATCCAGATTCTGTCCTTCCTGCCCCCCTTCACGTGGCCTGACCACTGTTCCCACGCCTCTCTCGCAAGCTCGGCTTCCGTTCGCTCACTTGTAGGTTTGATCGTTGGTTTCTCACCTTTTGTGGTGGGCTTTGTGGCAGGCACTAAGGACAGTATCGGCAAGACAGAGCTACAGCCCTCTCAGTCTGGCTGCTCCCCTCCCTGAAAATTGACAAAATTCCCATCCTTCTTGCTTCCTTCCAGTCAGCTCTCAGCAGAGGGACTGGCATGAGCAAGTGTCCAACAGGTGGGGAAGGTCAGGGCAGGTGGGATGCTGCTGGACAGGAGAAAGTGCGGCTGGGGGCCTTGGTTCAAATTCAATGAGTCAAGTCCTGGCTGGGGGAGCTAAGAGCTGGGGAGGCCTGTGGGTCCAGCAGGGCTTATGCCCATATCTGGTGGGCAAGGGGAGCTAGAGGGGGACTGGCAGACAGTGGATGGCCCCACTTTAAATAAACCCAATAGGCAGAAACCAGATTTGCCTTGGTGTAACCTGGGCTCCTGCACTGCCCCAACTCCCTAGGGGCTGCAGAGCCACCCCACCCCCACCCCAGGGGCCCATTTACTACATGGGGGGTGGAGGATGGGTGGAACCTAGAAGCTGAAGGTGGGACATATAATCTGTTGTTCCTGGACAGGCCCGACCTGCTGACCCAATAGGGCAGATGGGAGGCCACCAGCCTCTGGTAGGAGCCAGTATCCATTTCCCATAGGCTTAAGGACCATCTCCACTGCTCAGGATCTGAGGCCTTGGCACCCCCTCGTGGTTTCTTGGGTCTGCAACAGAGCTTAGGACTACAAGGCAGCCAGGTTTCCAGGAAGAGTCCGGCCAGAAGGTATAGGGTCTCTGGAGGGAGCCTTGAGAGCCCAGGGTTTGGGTCTTTCTATTGGAGGTTGGGAACTCTAGAGCCTGGAAACTTCAGGCTTAATTGAACAACTTCCACCCAGCAGTACTCCTCGTCCCGTCTGAACCTATATGCAGACCCTAGACCCCCTCAGCTGAGGCAGGCTTGCCCTACAAATGCCCTTAGGCAGCTCTCAGAGCACCCACAGGGAACAGATCAGGAGAAGGACAGGAAGTGCATCCCTCCTCAGTGCCCCTGGGAGCACCTGCTCTGGGACTCATTTTCCCTACCTGACGACAGGCCTGCAAAATGTTCTCTGGAAGAGAGCATGGCCAGCTCTGCACGTCAGAGACTTTGTTGCACGCAGACACACCTGTACACGTAGGCACAGGCACGCACAAGTGTGCCCACATACAGGCATACACATGCGTAAGTGCACAAGCACACATGCAGAGGCGAAAACCACAGGCTCGTGCACACTAACGCACATGCTACTTGTGTGCGTGCATTTTACAACCATACACAAATACCCGTGTGGACATGTTATTCCACATCAGCATGTGTGTGCATGAGGAAAAAGGAACACATGCACATGTGTGTCTGGTATGCACGGGCACACATGTGCCCCCCCTGACAGACACACCTGCACATGTGTACATACAAGTGCAGACATGGACAAACGTGTTGTGTCATTGCTTTGGTTGATGCCAGCAAAGGACAGACACCCATGCACACACAGCAGACATGCATGCTCCTTCCCTCAAGTCTGTTGGAGTTGTGGAGGTATGTCGAGGCCCTGCGCAGGTCAGGTCCAGCCTTTGGTACGAGGCAAATGCAATGTTCTCCCTTCCTTCTTGACTCTGCAGAGTATGGAAGCCCGGTCCAGAGTCACCCAGCCCTTCCCAACCACTTGCTTCCGTGTGGCCCTCTGAGCCTCCCCTTCCTTGTCAGTAAAATGGGACTGATGACGTGGGCACCCATTCACCAGGGCCCGTGTGAGCTTACAAAATAGAGAGCAGTGCTGAGTCCAGTGCTGGGCCTGGCCCAGGTGCTCCATGCTTGCTTCTCCCTCTCTTCCCTGTCCCAGCCCCGCCTCCCTGCCCCCACCCAGGGGTTCAGGGTCCTATTCTCCCCCTTCTAAGTCTGGACCCTGTGGAACCAGACTCCCTGCTCTGGTGCAGGGGCTGGACTGTCTCCATGGTCTCTCCTAGAGGGTTGGGGCTCATAGAGTGGGGTGCAGAGTCAGCAGCTGAGGGATTGGGGCCACGCCAGCCTGATTAGAAGGGCTGGGGGCTGAGCTGGCTTTACCTGTCCTTGTCTCTCATTGGCTCTTGGGAACCCCTGGCCCCCAAATCCCACTAAGCAGCCCCACCGGGCCTGCACAGGTCTGTGGAAAGCCAGTCGATTGCCAGTCCTGGGGTCAGAAGGGTGTTGGGAGACCTGAGCCCGGCTCGCCCGGCTCTGGGGATCCCCTCCATCTAGAACCAGCCAACCACACTGTTCACCTGCTGCTGGGACCATGGGGGCTGGGGCTAGCGCTGAGGAGAAGCACTCAAGGGAGCTGGAAAAGAAGCTCAAAGAAGATGCTGAGAAGGATGCTCGAACCGTGAAACTGCTGCTTCTGGGTATGGGTGTGGGTCCAGGTGGGGGCACTGCCACCAGGTCGCAGGCGGGGGGGGGGGGGCAGGCAGGTAGCTCTTCTGTGAAATGGGTGACTTGGGAAGCAGAATGACCCTAAGACAGGTCAGGGAACTGAGTGGGAGCCCTGGCCCTGGTGGGCAGTACTCTGACTCCGCAAGGCTGGGTATCCCGTGGAACCCCTCTCCAGGGGGTCCTGACTTAGGCACCCTCCTCTCTGGAGAAGCCCTGCTGGGCAGGGGTCAAAAATGAGGGGCTTCCTTGGGAGCCCTACAGTAGCGCTGATTCCTTGGAAGAAGAAGGTAACAGTCCTCCTAGGAGTGGGCATCCTTTAGGACCATCCAGATCCACAGACAACGGCCCTTAGATTCCAGAGCTTTGTTGTGGGCAAACCTAAAGAGGGTGTCCCTCTTTAGAGCTACTAAGGCCCCGGGTAGAATAGATAAAGCCAAGCACTTGGTCCCATGGGAGGTGAGGAGAGGTGGGACTGAGGCGGTGCCTCCGGGTCACTGCCTTCCACAAGGGGAAGAAGGAGCTGCTTTGAGAGGCAGTGCAGGTCCCACCCCAGGCTCTCCAGGACCCAGTCAGGCATCTGGATGTGGGCAGAGAGACCAAGCCAGAGCACCCCAGGGAGACAGAAGCTAAGCCAGAAATCCCATTAACTGTACCCAAAGCCCTGGCGAGAGCAGGCTCAGAGGGGCTGTCAGCTCTGTCTTCTCCCCCACTCAAAGGCTCTAATTCCCTCTGAGCCTCTAGGAGACACTCCCCTCCCTACAACCCCTGAAAAGCCGGGGTTGACCCGGCTCCAATAATCCTCTGCATGCAGTACCAGAATCTTCCACGGTGTGGCGCTCCAGGTTCTCCTTATTTTGGTTTCAAAACAACCAAGAATGGAAATACCAGGGGTCTTGGAGGCTCCCCAACACAGCTGAGGTCGTTGATTGCCCTTGTCACCCCCTCGTCACTCCTGGCATTTACAAATGTGTTTCCTCCAGGGTGTCGGGACCTTGCTTTGGGGTGGGGGTGGGGGAAGCAGGTGGAACTGGGGTTTGGACTGGTACCTGCCTTGAGTCTGCCGGTCGCCATTTTCTGAGCCCGGTTGTGGGGGAGGGGGGGTTAGGGGGGTGGGGGAGTAGGGGGTGTAGAAGGTGGGGGGAGGGTTGTAGGGAGGTGTGGCAAGCGCAGCTCTGAGACCGAGTTTCCCTTCCAGGAGCGGGTGAGTCCGGGAAGAGCACCATTGTCAAGCAGATGAAGTGAGTGCCCTTGCCCTTTCTGAGGTCCCTGAGGGTGGGCACACCCACGGGGCCTGTCCTTCCCCACCAGTCCAATTGGCCTTGACCCGGCTCACCCTGGCCACAGGATCATCCACCAGGATGGGTACTCGTTAGAAGAGTGCCTCGAGTTCATCGCCATCATCTACGGCAACACGCTGCAGTCCATCCTCGCCATCGTGCGCGCCATGACCACACTCAACATCCAGTATGGAGACTCTGCCCGCCAGGTGTGCAGGGAGACTGGCTGAGCGGGGCCTCTGGGGACTCGAGGCACGAGACTGGGCTCAAGTCCACGGTCACCACCACCAACTCCCACCCCACCCTCAGGACGACGCCCGGAAGCTGATGCACATGGCGGACACCATCGAAGAGGGCACGATGCCCAAGGAGATGTCAGACATCATCCAGCGGCTGTGGAAGGACTCGGGTATCCAGGCCTGCTTCGAACGCGCCTCTGAGTACCAGCTCAACGACTCGGCGGGCTAGTGAGAGCGCAGGCGGGGCGCGGGGGTGCGGGCGGGGTCCTACCATGCCCCTCCACCGCACCCACCCACACCTCGCGGTCTCCCGCAGCTACCTCTCGGACCTGGAGCGCCTGGTCACCCCGGGCTACGTGCCCACTGAGCAGGACGTGCTGCGCTCCCGTGTCAAGACCACAGGCATCATCGAGACTCAGTTCTCCTTCAAGGACCTCCACTTCCGGTACAACCCCGCACCCGCGCCCTGGCCCTCCCTCAGGGGCTGGGGCTGCAAGTGCAGCGCCCCCACGCCCTATTAGAGGCCCTGTCCCAAAGAGACCCTGCCCCTCCTCAGACGCCCCACACTCCAGTCCCATCCGAGTGCCCCCCAGCCAGCATTAGGAGGCAAGGGGATGCCTGTGGGTGCGTCCATGGCGTTCCAAGCGCGGGTTCAGGCCCCAACTGCTCCCCAGGATGTTCGACGTGGGCGGGCAGCGCTCGGAGCGCAAGAAGTGGATCCATTGCTTCGAGGGTGTGACCTGCATCATCTTCATTGCGGCGCTGAGCGCCTACGACATGGTGCTGGTGGAGGACGACGAAGTGGTGGGTGCCAAGCAGGGCCCGAGTGTTTCCAGGGAAAGCCGGAGACAGTGCTGCGGGAGCGGGGAGGGTCTGAGAGCGGACACTTGTTCCAGAACAGTCGGAACGAGGACACAAGACAGCCAGCAGCCACGCTGAGGGGGACCGTGGGGGAGGCTGACTTGGAGCTGGCTGTCAGCAGAATGGCCCCGGGTGCCCCAGAGCCTGTGGGCCCCAGGCCCAGGGGGACGGCTGCCCGTGCCCCCCCCCACCCGGTGCCCTACAGCTTCTGTCCTCCTCAGAACCGCATGCACGAGAGCCTGCACCTGTTCAACAGCATCTGCAACCACCGCTACTTCGCCACCACGTCCATTGTGCTCTTCCTCAACAAGAAGGACGTTTTCTCCGAGAAGATCAAAAAGGCGCATCTCAGCATCTGCTTCCCGGATTACGACGGTGAGAACCCCCTCTCCGCGTCCTGGCCGCCAGGCGGCGCCCCAACCCCGTCATCCGGGCCTGCGCTTCTCCAGCGGCGGGACGGAGTGGGGACACCGAGGGAGAGCACCCCTTTCCCTGACAGGGCCCAACACGTACGAGGACGCGGGCAACTACATCAAGGTGCAGTTCCTTGAGCTCAACATGCGCCGCGACGTGAAGGAGATCTATTCCCATATGACTTGTGCTACTGACACACAGAACGTCAAGTTCGTCTTCGACGCAGTCACAGACATCATCATCAAAGAAAACCTCAAAGACTGCGGCCTCTTTTGAGGTAGGATCCTCGTGGGCTGGGATGCTCCCCTGTCTTGCCCCTTGGTCTCAATACGTCACACTCCATCCCCAGCTCTCCACCCCACCTCACTGTGGCAGACCCCACCCTAGGTCATCATCAGGTCCTGTGCCAGCTCTCCAGACCCATCCCACGTGGCTGGTGGCTGGTGCCAACCCCCAATTCCCAGGCCCCACCTTGGCCCCTCAGACTCCATGCCACTGCCCCACCGCCACCCTGCCCTCCAGGGACACAAGGCCCACTCACTAATCCCTTCTGACCCTGCCCCATCCCTCTGGTGTCCTTGCTTACAAGCCCACCCCAACAGTGCCTCTTGGCCTATGGCCAATTATTTTGGAGCTCAGGGATGTGTTGACTTGCTTCCTTTTCTCTGTTCACAGGTGCCTGAACTCATGTGTGTCCCTGACACCCTGTAGCCCTAGCCACCTTGTAGCCCTAGCCCACAGGAGCCTATTAGCCCCCCAGAACTCCTGGACCCCAGCCTGTGGTCCCACCAGCCACACACCCAAAACCCTGAGTCCCACTAGCCTTGAGGCCCTGACCCTCCCCCGTGTCTCCCAGAGCCCAGTGCCCCCAACACCACTGTTGCCCTTCACGGCCTGGCGGCACTGGCCTCCAGGACCCACCCCAGCCAGCCCCAGCTAGGAACAGGCAGGACTTGGGACAGCTAGAGCTCACAGTGACTCAGCAGTGCCCAACTGACCAATCTCCGGCAGGTCTCTCTCCCCAGGGGGCCCATGACTCACCTGGTGGGTCTGGGTTCAGCAAACAGCCCTCCCTCCCAGGTTCATGAAGAGCGAGGGGGCAGGCAGAGATCCCTCCTCCAAGCAGGCCTACTGCTTACCATCAGCCCATTCTAGCCTTACTACCTCCATGTGGCAAGTCAGGCACCTGTCTACCCAGTGGCCAGTGACTCCCTCTCAGTAGCTTCAGGGGTCCAAAGTCCAAGCCACTCAGGCCTATGTGGCTCCCACATTAATGAATTAGTGAGTGGGGGGCAAGCCTGGGAGCCCCTGGGTGTCAGGAAGAGATTTAAGCTGGACCCTTCCCCACACAGCAGGCTCCAAGTAACCCCCTGTCTCCCTCCCCCACAGGCTCTGCCCCCTCCATCCTTGGACACCCAATCCATGTCCACCTCACCCCCACCCACCCACAGCGCTTCAGGCCAGCCAGCCAAGGGGATGGTCTGTTGAGGGAGGGTACTGTTGACACCCGCTGTGGCCAATGGTCAAACTGTCCTGAGGGGTGGCTGGGGGCAGAGTCCGACTCCATCGATCAGCTCCAGGCAGAGGATTTGGGACATGACTGAGGCCCAGGTTGGGCCCAGAGGGGTCTACTTCAGGTGGGGTCACAAGCAAATCCAGGTAATCCTCCCATCCCTGCCAGCAACTTCTCTCACCCTTTCAGGGCCCATTCCCTGGCAGGAAAAGCTGAGGGCCATGTCCAAATTTTGTCAGGGACAGAGGCCCATGTACCTGTACCCCTGCTCCCAGTTCCTCATCAAGCCCCAAGTCCTCGCTGGGGCCTGTGAGCCAGGACTTATGCTAAGTCGAGGACAGGGGCTTCCATCTCTCAAGGCCAGAGGACAGTCCACACTCCCCTCAGGCAGATGCAGACTCAGCAATAAACCTTCGCATCAGGCCCCAGCTGTCCTTTCTTGTGGGGAAGGGAAAAGCGTTCATTGTCACGAGTCATAGGCATTTATTAAGTGCCCAGTGCTGGGCTGGACATCAATGGGAAGACGGAAACTTCCAGAGAGAAGAACCTGGCCTGGCATGGCAGGAGCGATCCTGGGGGCATGGGACCAACCGGGGCCTCTCGAGAGAGGGCTTTAAGGGGAAAGGAGCCATGGGAAACGTTCACAGGGATAATCTTGGATCAAGATGGAGTTCTGAGGTAGAAGCTTATTCTGTCAGGGAGAGTAGGGGGTAAAAGGCCCAGAAAGGAGGGCTTGTGGGCCATAGCTCAATAGGGCAAGAGCAGGCAAAGGGGACATGGGGTGGGGAGAAAATGGGCGGGTGCCAAGTGCCAGCCTGAGAGCCTGGGCTTCCTCCAGAAGCTAATGGGTCTTAGAGGCCCTTAAAGCTAGGACCTAATAGCAGGGCTGGGATTCGGGTGAAGCAAAAGAGGCACTCACCTGGGGTGAAAATGTAAGGTGGTGCCAAAAAGTTCAGTAATCAAGATAAAGAATTTATGAACGCAGTACTTTTTAAATTCAAAATTACTGCAGGGGAGTCTGGCTGGCTCAGTCTGTAGAACATGTGACTCTTGATCTCAGGGTTGTGAGTTCAAGTCCCATGACCTACTCAAAAAAAAAGAGAAAGAAACAAACAAATCACTGCAAAAAACCCATGATGAACAAAATATCAAAATTTTAAATAAAGACAAGATCCAAGAGAACCCTGCTGAGCTCTATATTGGAGCCCGAAGCAGAAGGAAAATGTCCATTCCTATATATGTTTTTATGTATTTTTAATGGTAAATTTTTTAATAGAATATTAAATTAGTTGAAAAAAGATTTGAAAGTAGATATATTCAAAGTCAACATTATTTTAAGCTTAGCTATTTTGTCTATATCTGAAACAATTTATAATTTTCTTTTCCTGGCTTTAATGGAAATAAAATGATCAATAATATTTTACAACTCTTGTTTCTGGAAAAAAAACAATCATTAAGATTTTTCATGAAAAAAATTTTATTTTCATGAAAACAGGTATGTAGGGACACACATTTTTTTCCCCTGGGGGCCAGTGTGAAAGGGTATGAGGGCAGAGAGCAGCAGGGCTGGGGAATCCGTGCTGTCCTTGCAGAAGGAGGAGGGCAGAGCTGTGAGCCGGAAGTGAGATGGAGAGAGGGGGAGTGAGGGCGCCCAGGCCTGAGCACAGTGTGGTGGTAGAGGGACCTGGGATGGGTTAGGGAACTCAGCCATGCTGGTGCTGCTCAGAGGCCAGAGAGGAGGATGGGGCTTGGGCCCGAGGGGAGGCTGGGGTTCGGACCCTCACCAGGGGGTCTTGGTCCCAGCTGAGCTAGGCTGCTCACCTCCACTAAGGACCCTCTGACAGAGCAATTTACTAGAGTGAGAGGAGTAAGTTCAGGATTTAGTGGGGAGAGACAAGGCAGAAGACAAGAGGCTTTGAGGAGCTGGGAGTGGTAGGCTTGGAAGGGAGGAGGCTGTAAGGCGAGGTGGGCTAATGGGGTCTTCCACACAGTCATCTTGTCTTGGAAGAAAAGTAATGAGCTCCCCAGCCTTCCTGAGTCTGGGCAGAGAGAAGCCCATACACCAGACAGGGGCTGGATCCCACTCTCCGGGGAGTCCCCTCCACAGACAGTTCTGACCCCAGGGTGGGGGATTCAGGACTGGGATTCCTGGATCCCATGGGCTGGGGCTTGCCCTGCCTATGGCCACAAATATGCTGGGGTCTGGGGTCGGGGTGGGGTGGAGGGGCGGGGCCGAGTCCCCCAGCTCGGAGCCTCCCCGGCCCACTCAGGCCCCACTCACCGCATCTGTAATTACACCCTAAGGAGCAGAGTCAATGGGTGTTCAGTGCCTGAGTCACCCTTGAGGGCAGGGGATCAGAGCCGGACCGAGGCAGCATAGGGGCCGCACCCTAGTCTTGTAGGTAAGGGTCATTTACTGTGGGAACCCCCACTCACCAGCATCCCTGCCTGACCTGCAACCTCAAGGTGCCCTCGAGGGCTCTCCCGGCCTTCAGCTCTGGCTCTGGCGGGACTAACCTGGCCCGGCCACAGACCAGAGATTAGACAAGCCTGGTCGACGGTTAATGCCGCTGACGTCAGGGCCTAGTTGGGTGGCCACTAGGGCCTCGGGCCCTCCCCACAGGCAGTAGCATAACCCACGTGACCTGGGCTCATTAAGCCGCTTCAGTGGCCAGAGAAGCTGGGGGCCAGATCTCGGGAGAGAGGGAGGGCATGCCAGAACTGTGGGAGCGGGCCTCAGCCAAGAGGTCATCAGCTCTGAGGACCCAGGCTGGGGGAGGGCTAGATGGGACTGTCTGCCTATGGGTCCCTCACGGGGTTCCACACCCTGTATTATACCAACTAAACCCCTACTTTTCGCTGAAGAGGAGCCTCCCAGACACCACCTGGACAGAGTATAGTCAGGAGCTCTGAGTGTGGGTCCTCAACGCTAGGGCATGGAGGTGAGAACCCTCCTCTCCTATGAGGCCTTAAAACCCCCCACATGACTCCAAGCCACGTGTCCTGCCCCCATGCACACCACCTACTGGTGCAAATTGCACGCTCATACTCACGTTTTCCTGTAGTCGGGCTGTTTCCTCTATCCGAATGCCCTTTCTCTTCCCCATCCTGGCATGTGCCTTTCTTCCCCTTGGCAGAACCAAGCCCACAGGTTGCTTCTCCATCAGGCTTTTCCTGATTCGCACCCTCCAACCTGGCAGGAGCTTTCCTGTCTAGACAACCCAGAGGGAGCTCTTGGAGACACAGGCTGCGTGGTGGGATAGCAAGAGGGGCCACGTGAAGTACAGGAAGAGCTGGCCAGGCTGTTCAGAGGCCGCCTCTCCAGGGTGTAGAAGGACAAGTGAGAGCCTGATGAGGAGGTGGGACAGGGTGGGGAACTAGGAGGGCAGAGGGTCAGGGAGAGGAGAAGACTGGCATGTTCTGAGAACAACAGGAACATGTGCAGCCAGCCAGGTGGGGTGGGGGAGGCCAACTGGGACAAGAAGCCAGTTGGGAGGGTGTCCAGGAGGCCTGCTGAGTGTGAGGCAGGGCCCTGCAGAGTGTCTGAGAAGTCAGTGGGCACAGATGCTGGGCTCTGGGACAACTGGGTTGGAGGTGAAGATGGGGGCTCACTTTCGGGGAAGGGTCCTGGGGCACCATGTGGATGACGTGCCAGGGGAGGTGGTGACACGGTGGGAGGAAGCCACCTAGATGGAGGCTGAGGGGACATGACTGAAGAGGGAGGAGGAGAGCAGAGGGCTGCCAGGACCCTGGAAGGAGAGTCTGAGCGATCCTGGGACCCTAAGTTCTGCTTCATGTGTCTGGCCGTGTCTTAGGCCCATGTCTTAGTTTCTGGAGATGGGATCTAGGGGTGGGGGTTGGGCTGAGGACTGAGATGAAGCACCCTCGGCCCTCCACTCCTGATGGATGCCTCCACCACTGTGTTACATCAATGACATTCCCTCTGGTCCCCGGGAGAAGGCGTCCAGCAGCTCTGAGTCCCATCCTGGCTGCCAGCTGTCCTGCCACCACAGGCTGGGCTGGGAGATTCGGCAGGTGGTGGGGGAAAGGCCTCGGGGCTGTGTTTGCCCTGGCTGGGGCCCAGACCTAGCATCAACAAATTGCAGCCCCTCCCCCTCCTGGCCACAACTGGTCTGGCCCAGAGACCCCACATCATGCTGCCTCAGGCCACCCACAGCAGCCCAGCCCAGCTCAGCTGGCCTTTCCTCCTCCTGTCAGGACTGAGGACCCCAACATCCACATGCTGGGTGACCTTGATGCCAGGTCTGGGCCCTCAGGAACTGCCAGTGAGAGCACTCAGCCCTTTGCAAATGGCTTCAGTGAGCATCCAGGATATATGTCGCTGGGTGGGGGGGGGCGGGGGCAGACCTAGTCAGTTCCTCGCCTACTGACTCTCCAATGGGCAGTCCTCAAGCCCCTTTGGAGACTGAGAGACTTAGGGTCCCTCATGACCAAGGTAAGCTCTGATCTGGGGATTACACTAGCCCCAGATCAGGAGGAAAAGCCAGTCCCTTCCTATTTTTCAGCCATAAGAAAGGTGGGAGCTTGAGTGGTTTCAGGAATTGACACCATCCCAGTGCCTTTCTCTTTAGCCCTCCTAGCTCCCTGACACTCCCAGCCAGAGTCCCCTGCCCTCGGCTCACATCTTCCCCTTCATCCATTCCCCTCAGGCCAGGAGAGAGGACAGAACCATTTCCCTGTGACACAAGGGGAAACTGAGATAGGCTCGGGCTTGGCTCTGGTGGTGCTGTGAGTCAGTAGGAAGAGAATCCAGGAGTCCTGACTCCCAGACCAGAGCACAGGAGAGGTTAGGCCTGTCCTCCGAGGGCATTCCCTCAGTACCAAGAGAGGGGCGGACATGACACAGAGACATCCAGCTTGGCTAGGAACAGCAGAGGCCATGGGATTAATCGGATCAGAGCCAGTGGCTGAGAAGCAAGGGACACAGCTGTGCTGGGAACCCCCCCCCCAGCTCACCCCCAAGGTCAAGGCCTCTCCCAGCTCCCTGCTGGCTAGGCTTGGCGGGGGGGGGGGGGGGGGGGGGCCCCTTCCCCCCCCCCCCTAGGGCACTAAGTTCTGGGTCCCACTTCCCATGGGCAGACACAGCGGTCTCTTACTCCTTAGAAATAAGGAAAGGGGAGGGGGATCATGGCCAGGGAGAGCCCAGCAAGGCTCATCACAAGCCCAGCGGTGCTCCCCTCCTATCTCAAAGGCCCTACCTCTATCTGTTCCAGCCTCGATCTCTTCTGAATATCTGGGGTGAAAACGGAGAATTGATGCAGTTGGCCCCCCGTCCTTACCCGATCCCACCTCTGCTTGGGAAGGGTGAGGCAGGCAGAAAAGACATTTTGTGTCGGACTGATAATCTGAAGTTCCCCACCGAGAGCACCCTTCACCTATGTTAAGCACTGCTCTGTTCTCTT